GTTTGTGATTGATTTGCACATTTTTAAAAGTTTGAAACCATAATTACAATTTATTATGTATTTTATTTTATTTTGTTTTTGTTCTATTTAAAATGGTCAAAAATAGACGAAAATGATGTTTTGATCAAGAAATGGTAAAGGTAGGGACATTCTGCACCAAAAAATGAAACGTATGGATGTTTTCCACAAAAATCGTCAAACGTAGAGACGTTTTGCGCCAATTACCCTTTAAAAAATGATATTTTAAGTAACGATTTTTATGATAATGTGAGATTAAAAAGTAGGAAAAAGCAAAATATTTTATTTCACGAATATATAATTCAAAACGAGCATATTGGAAAAAAGAGTTTTCCAATAATAACGGTCAAACAAGGCATAGAGAATATGTTCATATATATTCACAAAATTTAAAGATATTGCGGGGCACGTCACACTCAACCTTCTCCTTCGCCGTCGCCGCTGAATTAATAAATAAGATTATATAATGCTAGTATGGTACATTTCACTTTATCAAGACAACACGACCTACGCAATAGCCAATAAGAAAAGTGAAGTATTCCCTTTCATAATAGGTAATTTTTTAGGGTAAATTGCAGCCAGTGTCCTCAATCTTTATCCCTTTTGTATTTATACTCTCAGACATTTCATATATTAGTAGTTATGGTCCTTCTTAACACTTTTACTTTTAGTAAAAAAATTACGTTAGAGATGAAAAAGACAAAATTATCCTTAATTTAAGTAGACGGTAAATAAATGAAAGAGAGATAAAATGTCTAGAAGTAATAAAAGAATAAAATTTGAGGTCATCTTTCCAAAATCCTCTTACCACCCCAACTACACACTTGTCATCATCACCATAAAATCAACGTTGTCACCGCCATCGTCACTGTAGTCTTCGTTTCCAATATTGCATTCCAAGATTCAAAAATATTATTCGTGATAACATATAGATGCTATTCGAATTTTTCCATTTTGTTTATTTACTGTCTAATGTAGACCACAATTGCAAATTTTATGAAAAATAATGTTATTTAGCACCAGTAATGATATGGCAGCAGTTTATGTGACTGCTCTTTTTGAAGTTGAATTAAATGAGTTATTTGATTTTTGCATTTAAATGAATATATCAAAATGTCATTTAATTGTCACAGAGACTGAGTGAAGATGAATATCAATGAAAGCTTATAGATAAGAACGCCAAAAATTAAAGGTATAGGAAGAAATGCTAAAGGGTTAAAGGTTGGGACACCGGCCACAATTTAACCGACTTTTTACACACTCCGATGTGATGGAAATTATACCGTCGTTATCTTCTTCTCACACGTTTTCTCGTCTCTATATATTTCAATCTCCTCTCCTCTGTTTTTCACATTTATCAGTTGACGAGTCACAGAAAGTTTAGGAAGAATAGAAAAATCTCAAGCAATGGAAGCAATTCCACCTCTGCATTCAGAACCCTCCATGTACCTCGAAGACACGGAAGAGGTAGAAAAGACTTTCAACCGCTTCGACGCCAACGGCGACGGCAAGATCTCCGCCGAAGAGTTCAGCGGCGTAATGAAAGCCATAACAGCGGACACCACCGCTGAGGATGTCGGCCACATGATGAAGGAGATGGATACTGACAAGGACGGCTTCATAAATCTCCACGAGTTCGCCACCTTCTGTAAAGGCGAGACCAATCCATTCGCCTCTACTGGAGACGGCGGCGAGAAGGAGCTCAAGGAAGCTTTCGAGCTCTATGATCAGAATCACAACGGCTTGATTTCTGCTTCTGAGTTACACGCGATGCTTACGCGTCTAGGTGAGCGTTGTACTGTTAAGGATTGTGCCAGGATGATCAAGTCCGTTGACTCCGACGACGACGGTTACGTCAACTTTGCAGAATTCAAGAAGATGATGACTAATGATAGGAACAACCAGCCACAGCCCAATTAACGGAGACTTTAGCCATGTTCGTAAGTGATAATTAGGCCTAGTTCTTGGGCTGTATAAATAAAAATAAGATTTTCCCATAGTTTCTTGTAAACGAGGTTTTTTTTTTTTTTTATGACACGACGATTAAGCCCTGTTTGGGCCTATCATTTCAAAAAAAAAAATTTTCTGAGACTCAATTTTCAATCACATATTCTTAAATAAAATAACTTGCAGACAAGCTCAAAGTTTTATCCTACTTTATAATCATATAATTTTCAAAAAATCACTATTACAAAACTTATTTTTGTTAATAATTGGGCTCAAACGAGGGCTAAGTTTGGATGTAGTTGGTCGTGAATGGTGATTGTCCCAAACGGGGAGGTGGAGGTTTTTGTATGGTGTATAGTTTTATAAAACTTATATATCTTATAATAAAATTTAACATAAAGTGTAAGTTACAAGAGTGATGTTACCGGTACATCACGGTA